TATAATAAAAAACCATTAGATAAGAAATAATGTAAATGTTGGAATTGTAATGAAGAAGGACGTATAAATACCGAATGTCCAAAAAGAAAGTTAGGATATTAATTACATATTTTGATCTGATTAAGATGAATGTGAATAAGTTAATTTTGAAGAAATAGAAACCGATGAAGAAATTTTTGAGGAAGAATTATCTCGTGAAAAAGAGTAAAAATAATTAAAAAAATAGTTTTTAAAACTATTCTCAAACTTGAGGATATGTTTTGCAATAAAAATTCATTTCATTAAGGGTAAAATTGATTTTTTAACAAAAAGCCTAAAATCTTTAAGTCGACCGGCCATTTGTGAAAACCTCCCCAAAAGATGTTTAGGGCATATTTGTGTAAAAAAAATTGGATATGTGAAAAAAATAAAATTTTGGAGAATTATGTGGTTAAAAGGTACGAAAAAGTTATTAGTTCAAGTGTAAAATGATTTTGCTGAAAATTTGTGTTGAAAATGAGTTTCAAAGAACTATCAAACATGGACTTATTTATAAGCCACTGTTTGGTGGGGATTAAAATCAGATTTTTAGTAGATTTTGATAAAAATTGATTAAATGTGTTGTTGAAAAGTTGTGAGATCCACAAAATATGTGTGATTAAAATTAATTATTGATTTTGACTTAGATTAAATTATGAATTTTAATCGGTATCAAATAAGAACTATGTATAAATTTAGTTAAAAAAATATTTTAAATTTGATTATAATTACGTGTGTTGGGACTTAGTAGGTATGGCAATGGGACAAGTCTGTCATTGTCATCTTCCACCCCATCGGGCATTATTTTTACATTGCCCCACCTCCGTACATTGCCCCACCTCCGTACCTAGTTAAAGCGGGATCGGGCGGGACATGTCCCCTGCCCAGTTTACTTGTTTTATTTTATTTTTTTTATATTTTTAGTTAGTAAATATATTTTTTTCAATTTGTTAAGAACAATTCATATTCTCTTTAAAAATAATAATAAATTTTTCTCCTTATTTTATAAAAAAACTTAAATTTTAAATTAACTTAAATGGAATTGGTTGCAATGTAGGGATCATGTTTTTCATATCCCATCCTATACGTGCTTCGGGACAACGACCCCCCTTCAATCCCACCCCATTTACCCAATTAGGCGGGTAATTTTTGCCTCATTCTGGTCGGAGTTCCACGGATATTTGAACGAGTTTTTTTGTCATACCGATTTAGAATAGCTAAAAAACTAATTTTTATTTATTTATTATTATTTTTTGATGAAAATATGGATTTTCACACATTATGTGGTGAAAATTGGATATTAATTGTAAGTTATGAAATTATTAATTGACTTCGATCTCAAATTTCTAGCAATTTTTAAAACTTTTCAAACAACCACTAAAAGTAAATTTGGAATATTTATCTACATTTTCGACCCATATTTCATTATCTTTTATTA